ATGTTATGTTAGTCTTTGGTTCAGTTACATATCTGAGGTGCTAGAAAAGAAAGAAAATGATCTAGTCAGTAGCACCAAAAACAGAGTTGAAAGAGTTTTCTGAAACCCTGAAATATGCATTCTTGGGAGATAAAGAGCAATATCCTGTTATCATCAATAAAGAGTTGTCTATGGATGAAAAAGAGAAGTTGTTGAAAGTGCTCAAGGAGCACAAGACAGCTATTGGGTGGTCTATTTCTGATTTGAAGGGCATCAACCATTCTTTCTGTACTCACAAGATGCTAATGGAAGACAATGTTAAACATGTGAGACAATCTCAGAGAAGACTAAACCCCACAAAGAAGGAAATCCATCAGTGGTATGAAGAACAATGTTCTAAATCTGGGAATTGGGGCCGCATACACGGAAATCGAGGTATCACACACAGAAAAAGGTTCAGCAGATTCATAGCCACTTCAGGGGAGTTATTTTAACCTTTCTAGTTATTTTCATTTTTATTTTTTTTTCATTTTGGTAGAAATTTTGTGTTTTTAGTTTCATTTCCTGCTATGTGAAAGCACAGTCCTGATTTAGATGTGCTACTCAGTCAATTCCTTGGTTGAATATGAGGAAGCATTGCATGATATGCAAGATTGTCATGACATTGCGTAGAGCATGAATAGAGATTATGATTGCTCGTTTGTTTGATTTCTATGATAATGATGCTTGAAATGAAATCAAGAAGAGTCTAGTTTGATACCACAGCTTGTGAGGTTTGTGCCTATACAGTTAATTTTTTTTTGAGAGTCCTCACTGCAGTGGTACTCTAGAACTTGATCTAATTCTCTCCAATGCATGTGTTGATTGAAGTGATAGAGGCATTTTGTTCTATTAAGCTTATGGCCAAATAGCTACCTGAGAAATCATCCATTGTTAGCCATGTTGAGCCTGAGACCAATTTTTTTAATTACCTTATTAAACTGTTTAGACCACTTCCATCAGAACTTACCTTGTTTGAGATTGAAATGTCAATAATCAAAAAGTTAGAAGTAATTGAGGTAAGCTCCAGTAGAAGTTAAGCAGTTGAAAAGGAAAATAAAAGAATAGTTCTCACATGAATATAAAGAGAAAGAAAAATAAATTGCAAAAATTGACAAGCAATGATGAAGGAAAAAGTGAGAAAAAGGAAGGAATCATGAATTCGAATAAAGAGTGGTACTGAAACTTGAATTGAGAGATGATTGAGTATTAATGAAAATGGTGTTTCAATCTCAATAATTATTCAGCTACTCTCCAAAAGATTCTAACCTTAAGCCAAGCCAAGTTATAACCTTAAGAAGCCCTTTTGATCAATCAGGCATGTGTTGATGTTCCTCATCTTTAGGAACTTGAGAAAAAGATCAAGCTTATGGTAGTACAACAACTGTGATGATGAAATGAGTGATGATGAATGACCCCAAACACTGAGTGATGAGTGAATATCATGTCTTGTGAGGGGTAATCAAGTTAGACTCCGATGTTTGAATGTAGTTGATGAGCATCATCTTAAGTTTGACGTGGAAATCATTCATGCTTAGTATAGTGATCTTTATGATTGTCTGTGCAATGTTGTGCTTGATTGATTGAACCTTTCTTCCCATGCTTAAATTCTGTTTATTGCTGAGGACAACAACATCTAAATCTGGGAATTGTTTGATGTGCTTCTAGCATATGATGTTTTCTAACTTGAAAGAAGCAAGGAATTAATCATAAATGAGTGAAAATAGTCATTAAATGCAAGAAATATTGATTATTCCTTCTCAATCATGTTCTCACTCAAGTTATATGTTTAAATAGCAGGAAACACCGCAAAAAGGAGCAAAAACGGAGAAACCAAATTTCCCACTGGCGCACGACGCGCGGAGGTTGGCGCACGGAGCGCCAAACTGGCGCACAGGGCGCGGTACTTGGCGCACGGGGCACCAAATCGACGATTTGCTTCTGTTTCGGTCGCGCACGAAGCGCAGGATGTGGCGCACGACGCTCCAACCTGGCGCCCGGAGCGCGGGAGTTGGCGCACGGAGCGCGGGACTGGCGCACGGCACTCCAGAGTTGGCGCCCGGGGCGCCGTTTACAGATTAAGCTTCTGTTTCTCCCAAGTTTGGGGCGCCAGGCTTGGCGCCCCGTGCGCGGGCGATATATTTTTAAGTGCGAATCAGCTAAAATAAGGCCCAATTGGAGTGCAAAGGGAAATAGGTTTTCCCAAAACCTAATAAAAGGATCAAAAACATAAGAAAAAGGATTTTTGGGAGAATCAAGAGGAGAAAAACAACAAAGAGAGCAGAGATTCCTTGGAGCTTCTCGGAGATTCAAGGATTCGATCGATCAAGACGGAAGATCTTCATCTTCCCTTTCTCTTCTAGGTTTTAAATGCTACTTTATTTTATTGTTATTTTGTCAGACATGAACATGTCTGGCTAGTTTTACCATTGTGGTAAGGGTCACAACCCTTGATGTGAACCCCTTGTACCTTGGTTGAAATTTATGATTATCTATTTTAATTGCATTTATCTTTTCTTGTTCTTCATTCTATAATTCTATTGGAACTGATCAATCTAGTAGGGTTGCGAGGGTTAGGGTTTACAATAGGGATGTTGGAATTCTAATTCCTGACAAAGAATAAGATAACTGTTCATGTACGCACTAGGGATAGGCTACATGAACAGCGAACGTTAAAGGTTCATTGATTCTAAGGGTTAACTCGAAAAGGGATTTCTAAGGGATTAGGATTCTAATAGAGTTAACAAGGTTAAAGTCACTAAGGGATTAGGGCTTAACTACTCATATAAAAGATGATGAATTGTTCGATCAATTGAATAGGTAAATGTAAACGTAATCCAAGTTGCAATGTGGGGATCGGAAAGGTGTTTGTTTCTCTTTACCGCAATATTTTCTCAAATATTTTCCCAATCCTTAATCTTTTGTTCTTGCATTCTGAAAACACTTTTGGAATCATTTACATTTTTACTTTAATTATTTTAGTTTGTTTCATGAACTACAATCATTCTCAACCTATTTTGATTAATCCAACAAGAGAGGAATAGTTATAACAACTTAGGTGCCTCAATCCTCGTGGAGACGATACTCTACTCACTCTTTATTACTTGGTACGATCAGTGCACTTGCCGATTCTACGCAACAGTAAGGTGATTGCAGAGCATATTACTGGAGCTGCTTCGAGGGAATTTGGTACACTGGTTCAGCAGTGTAAGGACTTTGAGAATGTCTGCATTAGGAGCAAGGCCAAGAGGGCCAAGGTTGATGAGACCAAAGGAACAAGTGGTTCCACTTCCTGGAAGGACAGGAGGTTTGCTGAGAAGGGCTAGGGAAAATAGTTTGCGACTAGGCAGGCGCCTGGTCAGTTCAAGAGGACATCTCCGCAGCAGGGAAGCTTTCCGAGGCCTCTTTCCACTCCTTCATATTCGGGGTGTGGAAAGGAGCATGTGGGACGTTGTGTTTCAAGGCAGTTGGTATGCTTTCAGTGTGGCAAGGAGGGCCACTTTTCTAGAGACTGTCTGTCGTCGACGGCGAGAGCTGCAGCTGTTCAGACAGTTCTATTGCAGATGGTTCCTTTGGCACCTACTTCGGCACCTGCAATGCCACCTGCTACTGGGCGTGTCTACATGTCTAGATAGGTAGCAATCAGATTGAGCTCCGAACCTTGTCAGAGGTACTGTGTCTATTGGTGATTCATCTATTGATGTATTGTTTGATTTCGGGGCTACGCATTCGTTTGTTGCAACCCCGATTGCTTTGGGGCTTGAGTTTCCCATGTCTGTGCTTTCTCCACCGTTGCGGGTGACTACCGCCACCAGAGAAAAGTGTGATGCTACCACTGTACATCAAGATGTCGTGTTTCAGTGGGAGGGTTGTGACTTCCCGGTAGATCTGGTAGGGTTGCCGATGGCTAATTTGGAAATCATCCTTGGCGTGGATGGATTGTCCAATAGTTGATTGATTGATTGATTGTTGTGCCTAGCGAGTGGTGATGTCTCCGTGTGATTCCGCAGCTAGTTCCTCGTCGTACATTTCATTGCTGCAGGCTAGGAAGGCCTTGAGAGCAGGGGCATTCAGACATGTCATGTTGGGAGGTTTAGTGAGTGGGACACAGGAGGATATCACTGGCATTCCTGTGGTGAGGGAATTCCTCGAAGTATATCCGGAGGAGATTCCTGAGTTTCCGCCATAGAGGGAGATAGAGTTCTCCATTGACTTGTTGCCTGGTGTAGGGCCGATTTCGTTAGCTCCATATCGGATGTCGCCACCAGAGTTGGCTGAGTTGAAGTAGCGTTCTGAGGGTCTTTCAGCGAAAGACTTCATCCGACCGACCATGTTGTTTTTGAGGCAAGATGCCTTACGCCATTACTTTAGCGTGATGGTGTTCTGTTTGAGGATGTGAAATTCTCTTCAGAGAAACTGAGTGTGTAACACTTGGAATTTGTGGCAGCGGCCACGCGCGATCTTGTATATGCGAGACAGTGCATGTGCAAATCGTATGTGAGTTCAGTGGTCTCCATGACTGTAGGATCTTATGTTGATTATTGATATGCTTCATAAGTAGTTCGCATATTAACATCATGGTTAGTGTCAAGCATGAAATGAGTACGATAGATTGTTGTACTGTATCAATGTCATTTCACCTTTAATTGAGTGTCAATTTTGCAGAGGCCATGGAGATTGAGGTACACTGTTGCATTTAGTATTCGAATTATTATGTTACTAAGATTGAAAATTTTGCAGGTATACGTGAACGAAGGTACGTTATTATGTGAATGAATATGCCAAATGACATGTGTTGGTTGAAATGAGTATGATTTTGATTTCGTACAATAATCATGAATATGAAGTTATTCTGAAATTAATGATTTATCAAATTGTGAGACTAGTCGATGTTAGAGACATGGAATAAGATCAAACTCACTTGAGTTTTGTGTGGATTCTTGAGTTGTGGGGTTAGGTCACCTCTATTGAGAGAGTGACTAGTGATCCCAGAGTTTTAAATGGCATTTTTGATGTCATTGTGAAACTTTGAGTTTTGTTTGTGACCTCTTTGTTGGGGGTGCACTTCTCGAGATGGAGACTGTGAGAGTCTTGAATGAGCTCAGGGAGAAGATCCAAGAGGCACAAGTGCAGAGAGAGTGCCTGGCCTACGTGAAGAACCAAGACGGTGTGCCTTGGAATGAGGATGAACTTCTGTTGTTTCAGAAGCAGATTGTGATACCTCAGGTCCTTTGACCAAAGAGGTTATGGCTGAGGCCCATAAGGGAGAATTTACTGTTCATCCTGGTGCGACAAAGATGTATCAAGACCTAAAGAGAATTTTCTGGTGGCAGGAATGAAGAAGGTCATAGCGGTGTAGGTGTCCAAGTGTTTGATTTGCCAGAAGGTGAAGTTAG